TGATACATGAAGAGGCAATCTCTTTCATATATATCCTTCATACAGTAGAATCTTTAGAAAATAAAGAAAAATATAAACTCCTCAGTAGAAAATTGGGCAAAGGTTATTTAACAGGCAATTCACACATACACAAACTGTCAAAGATATGAAAATTATTAAACTGTACTAGTAATACAAGAAATGCAAATTAAAACAAGTTTGTGTGTTTCTGTTTGCTTTTTACTTATTAAATTCATAAAAGTCTTAAGGTAAAATATAAACTTATAAAGGTACAAGGAAAATATGACCTATTTTGGAAATTGGTTGAATAACCAGCATGTCTCTTCTTCATGTTCTTCCAAGAGGTACCGTCCAGGAAAGATGGATTCTAGTAGTACAAATCAGTGTGTGCCTCCACACCGCCACCATAGACCACACTAATACCTATATTCTTCCTTCGTAATAACCAGGCCATGCCCTTAGCCCCATGTGGCAACAAATGCCTGGTGGGCAATCCAGCAGTCAACATCAAAAACCGTAACAATGTGGATACCATGAATTCCACAACTATACATTTACCCTAAGGAAAGAATTATGATATTGGACAGAGAATTACCCATAAGGTAGTTTAAGCAAGCATCATTTATATTAGCAAAATACTGGGAAAGGGCTTCCCTGGTGGCGCAGTGGTTGACAGTCCGCCTGCCAATGCAGGGGACACAGGTCTGAGCCCTGGTCCGGGAAGATCTCACGTGCCGCGGAGCAACTAAGCCCGTGCACCACAACTACTGAGCCTGTGCTCTAGAGCTGCAAGCCACAACTACTGAGCCCGCGTGTTGCAACTTCTGAAACCCACGCGCCTAGAGCCGGTGCTCCGCAACAAGAGAGGCCACCGCAGTGAGAAGCCCGCACACCGCAAGGAAGGGTAGCCCCCGCTCGCCGCAACTACAGAAAAGCCCGCGTGCAGCAACAGACCCAACACAGCCAAAAATAAAAATAAATAAATTTAAAAAAAATACTGGGAAGAACCTAAAATAGGGGATTGGTTATATGAGTTATGGCACATCCATATGATGTAATACTGGGCATTCACTAAAAGTAATGTTAGAAAAGGAGATTTAGCGGTATTGGAAAATGTTCATAACGTAGCTTGAAAAGAAGCAAATTATTTACTATATAATCCCATATTGATTTTTAAAAAGCATGCACAAAAGTCTAGGTGGATATAGAACTCAGTGGTTGCTACTGCTGCAAGGTCTATTACATGTAATGTTTATTTTCTTTGTGCTTTTCTGAACTTTCCAATTTTCTAAACTAAATTATTTTTAAAGTTACTTTCCAAAAAACAATTGGAAAGATACATTTCAAAGCTCCATCGGCTTCCTTGGGCTGCTAGAATTAGGGATGATTTAATTTTTAGTATGATTTTCTATATTTCTCAAAATTTTCTACAAGATTAGTTTTTAAGAAAAAGAAAGAATGATCACTCACCAAGGGTGTTTCCTTAGGAGGCTAGACCCACAAAATTACTTACAATGCAGAGAAGCACAGGCCAAGTGACAGACATATCTACAGTGAGACTAAACGGAGCCCTCCGCCCTGGGGGCTTGGTCTCTGTGGGCTCTGGATCCCCAGCACCTAGCACCCAGCATCTTTGGTGCTCCACGAATGCCTAGTCTATTAAATGAAAAATACCGCTGCTGCCACCAACACCACCTCCCACCTCCACCTTTCTAGAAGTCTTTTCTTCTATCTTCCCACCAATGCCAAGATTATTAAATGGGTGGTGTTGAATATAGTATTCTCATAGTGGAGTCCTGATGCACACCAACTCTCCAGAATCTCTAACGTGCCTCAGAAAAGGTTTCTGTGTGAGAAAACTAACACAGGTATAATTAACTTCGCAATATTAAAGAGAAAAAAAATCCAATTACTGAAAGTTCTTTTCCTCAGTTGCTTTTTTGTTTTTTTGAGAGCCATGCCAATCTTTTTTAAAAATGTGATGTTAAGGTAAAAAATGGCAAGGGTATATTAGCCTTTAGCAAAGTGGTACTGTTTTATAGGATTCAGCTACTGAAACCAAGGGGACTACAAATGCAGCTGTTCAGCGGACCACCAAACCCTAAAATCTTAAGCAGCTACACTATACGGGAGAAGAGCCCAACAACTGTAACCCTCCCTCCCCCCACCCCGGATTACAGCAACCAGTGCTTGGTTAAATTAAGTAAGTTTGAGTCCTGACTTCCTTCTCTTCTGCTCACATGCTCTAGACTACAGAAAAAATGCTCAAGACCTTAGAAGACCAAATTCCAAAAAAGAAAGGACAATAAGGAAACTAGATAACTAACCTTTCAATAAGCAAAAGTAGACTGGTCACATGGAAGCAATCTGAATTATAAGCAGCTTGCTCAGTGATGACTTCAAATCCAATTTTCTACAAACTTTGCCTCCACAGCCTCCTGTGCAGACTGTTTCTGTGTCTTTCTCGTTAGACAAACTACATTTCTCTAGGATAGAGACCATGCTGATTTAATACCCCAGTATGAACTTACTTAGTACCCAGTACTGAGCACAAGCTCTTAAGACACTGTAGGCAGAAAATAAACATTCTTCAACTGCTAAAATAAATGATAGGGACTAAGAGTCCGCATGCTGCAACTAAGACCCGGTGCAGCCAAAATACATACATATATAAATAAATAAATAAATAAATATTTTTTAAAAAATGATAAAATTGACATCCTGTGGTATTCCTGCAGAGGTAAAAGGCACAAAGCTGTAGTAAGCCTAAGAGCCCTTACCTGAAGGGATGAAATTTTAATAATAAAAATAAATGCCTAAAAAAAAAAAATGCCTAGGGGGAGGAGAAATAGAAGACTTTTCAGCAGAAATAGTCCCAGTTTACCCAGTTCACCCCAGAGGCAGGAAGATGGGAGAGAATCTAAAGATGAGAAAGAGAAGCCACATCTGAAGACAGAAAGACTACCTCTCTGTCTTCAGAAGAGATACTTTGGAGTTTCCAGTTCATGATACGTAAATCCCTAATGCATAAAGACGCTCTGATTTCAAACATGGTCAGTCACAATCACAAAGAAACTGAAAGGGGAGAAGAAGGATGGAGAGAAGCACATGTGCGGGGCACACTCACCTTGCATCCGTCTCTCTCTCACACATGCTCGCGTGCACGCACTCACACACACACACACACACAGTGGAGTAATGCTAGATCTTTGCCCTGTTCCAAGATTTTCTTTCCTAGTCAGGGCCTGGTCTGCCCTTTCACTGACGAAACATGTCATTCAGATCCTGACTATCAGAGTCAGGCTCCCTCTTCAAAGAGGGTTTGCATGAAATAACCACATATATTTACAGAACCATCATTACAGATCATCTTCTTCATGCAGGCCACCAAGAAAGCCACTCAATCTGGATGGGTAGCCTGTACTTCAAACTGATGGGAGCTCAGAGACCAGAATGAGGCTTGTTAAATGGTTTGGAGCCCTGGCTGCATATGAGAATCACCTGGGGAGTTTTTACTAAAAAATACTAGTGCAGACTCTCAACCCAAGCCAATTAAATCAGAATTGCTAGGGATGAAGTCTGAGCATTGGTGTTTTTTGGGTTTTTTTTCCCCTAAAGCTTCACAAAGAATTATTAATTTTTTTTCAGCATGGTAAAAGCAAGTGGTTATGTCTTTTTTTTTTTTTTTAATCTTTACTAGAGATAGAAGAAAACATGCTTTAAAACACTCCACAGAGAGGGGTGGTTTTGACTATACAAGATTGGAAAAATATTGATAATTGTGGAAGCTGGGTGATGGATACATAGGAGTTGATTACATTATTCACTTTATTTTTGTATATTTGAAAAGTTCTATAACAAAAAGTTATTTTATAAAATCAGCAGAGGGACTTCCCTGGTGGCACAGTAGTTAAGAATCTGCCTGCCAATTCAGGGTACGCGGGTTCGATCCCTGGTCTGGGAAGATTCCACATGCCGCGAAGCAACTAAGCCCATGTGCCACAACTACTGAGCCTGCGCTCTAGAGCCTGTAAGCCACAACTACTGAGCCCACATGCCACAACTACTGAAGCCCGCACACCTAGAGCCCGTGCTCCGCAACAAGAGAAGCCACCGCAATGAGAAGCCCGTGCACCACAACGAAGAGTAACCCCCGCTCGCTGTACTAGAGAAAGCCTGAGCGCAGCAATGAAGACCCAACACAGCCAAAAAAAAAAAAAAAACAGGCATCCGCGAGACAAAAAAAAATAAATAAAACAAATCAGTAGAAATAAAAATTTGTTCTCTTACCCCCAAGTATATGAGTGTATGTGTATAATGTATTTCATATAAAAAATATTTAAAAACATAAAATAAAAGCTTTGCAAGTGATTCTAATGTGCAACCAGAGTTGAGAATGACTAGGCTACGTCATTTGAAAAATAAAGATTTAAATAAGCAGCAAGAGGGGATCTAGGTGAGAGACAAACTCCAGCTTGTGGCAAGATGGAGCCCGGTGAGGGTGGCCGGCCTCGTCTGAGTGCCTCACCATCTCCAATTTCTGCTATGCATACATTTGCCTGACTTTTGAGAATCTTTATTCACAAGTGAACTGTAAATACACATATACACATATGTATGTGTATGTGTATCTATATCTATATAGATCTATATATCTGTGTGTGCATGATTTAAGACAGTGCTACCAATTATATTCAGTAGCATGTAATTTTTAAAAAAGACTTTGTAGAAACACTGCCTCTGACCTAAAATGCTTTGGCCTTAGAACAGTCTCACAGAAACGCATTGCTTGGGAAGAGCAAGCTGCGGGGGCTGAGGATTGGGGGTGTTGTCTGTGGGTCTATCTAAGTGATGACGGCAGTGCTGATTAGAGGACCCTGAGTAAACTCTTGTATCAGGTGCTAAGTGTGGGAAGTCAAGAGCCACAACTAAGTCTCAACTTAATGAAAAAAGAATACATCAAAACTCCCCCCATCCCACCCCCAGAACCCGCAACTCACCTATTCTTCTCCATTTCATTGTGAGTCGATCTGAAAGAGGGAACAATAAAAGTAAGATTATTCTTGTCTTAAACGACTACTCCAACACCAACACAATTATTTTAACTGCTTTCTCTCCCAAGTTGGTAGGAGAGAAGACAGAGAAAGGGCTCTACTAAAGAAATTAGTCCCTTTGGGGAATTAGATAAATGTAAAGATCTAAAACAGAGTTCAAGGAGAAGTGACAAACTAAGAGGCATGCATTCCCTAGTGGAAAAGTAGTCCATTTTAAGAAAGGAAATAAGAGCGTTCTATTTACACAAAGAGGAGAACAGCTGCACACTGCTATGTGAATTTGGGCTGTATAACACCACAAAGCTCTCTTTAGGCCGAGTGTGCAGCAGTGGAGATGGGGCACCCCACCCCAGCCCTGCAGCCTCAAGGTGTGCTGTACACCAAAATTGTATGCTAAGTTGTTTGACTATAGGATACAGTTTAAAATGGATAAAAATAACCCTTCTTCGCTCAATCTTTCTATTTCCTGAAGTTATTTTATCATGTACAACCTCCTGAAAGATGCTACTGTTGAAGAGCTACCAAATTATTTCAGGAAGAGGCTTCCAAGACTCAGCTCAACGGAAAGACGACAGGCTAAGTTAAGGCAGCACTTCGGGTGGAATCTCAAGTCCAGCTTTGCCACCGACTGGTACTGTGAAAGAAATAAAATTCCTTACCATCCTGTCCTTGGTTAACCCCTCTGTAAAATGGAAATAAAAATGACTGCCAGTTGTCTACTGAACAAGCGTGGATCAATGAGGTAGCAACTGTAAAAGTGATTAGAGAGTCTTGGATGAAAGCGGAGGTGTATGTGAAATCATACTCTTAGTGTGTTTATAGCTGACCCTGAAATATAAGGTCTGGTCTAAGGATTTATGGACAGGTTTCCACACAAGTCATAAGAAATCAGTCAATGTGGCTATTGTCCTTCTCATACAACTCATGCCTAACTAGTTATAAATAAACTTGAGGAACCTCCCAGCATTATAAAGGAGCTGAATCTTGACTTTACTTATGGAAATTCTCTGGACCCTAATCAGTTCAGGAGAGATGACACCCTGGCTCAGGTCGAGAATTCTGTGGGGGCCATGACTGGAACCTTACTGGGCCTAGGAGATAAATTCTCACAGTAATCATGGAGGAACACTACCTCTGTGAACGCTCAGCCACTCATTTACAGCAAGAGGCACCACCACCAAGTTCATTCACACCAGAGACTGGGGGTGGGGTGTGTGCGGGGTAGTCTTGAATGGGAAATTTCCAACCCAGCACTAAACTTCTCTTCCACAAGGCTTCTGGGGTGCCAATTTTTATTCATGAGGAAAAACAAATAATAAGATAATGACAGTATTTTCAATTTTAGAATATTTGTTTTCTAGATAAAGGACATGGGAACCTTAAAACTGGTTGACTTAAAAGCTTTAAATTGATTCACTTGGTTATCCGTCAGTGTTCTTCAGTTATATTTTTCTGATGGTATACTTCCTGCAATGGCCATCAGGATATCACAGTTAACAAGAGTCTGGCCTGCAACTGCAAACGTTCGGCTTTAAAGCACGTGGCATTCTGGTTTTAACAGGGAATAACAGGTTCAAAGCCTGACAGATTTTTTAAATGGATGAAAGTATATGATGAAAGCTGGTCAAGATTTCCCTGTTTAACTGTAGACAAGGACCATTCTGGGAAGGTGGTGGTGGAGAGAAGGGTGGATATTTGAAAAGAGCATGGTCTCTGATTATAGAAAAATCGTAGCACACAGGGCACCCTTACCCAAAATTTCTGGATTCTTTGAAGATACATATAAAAAAATTCAGAATCCCCAAGATAATCTTTTAAACAAATTCCATAAGCAGCATAACTCCTTCTGAACTTTGAACAGAGCTTTGGAAACTATAGATCTTATCTGATTACTTAAGAGTGTTGAACATATGGTGATTTCTACAAGCAGACTTATACCTAATGGCTAGGGCATTACTGAAGTACATTTGGTTTAGTGAAACTGAATTTTTCTTTAATAAAAAGCAGGCCATTCAAAAAATGACCAGCTAAGAGACTGCCCACCAACTCTGTTGATGGGAAAACATTTATATTTTAAATTAAAGCATTATAAGAATATACAGATACTTTGTGTCAAAATCATCTTCCTTGTGTCAAAATCATTTTCCATGTGATTACTGAAAAGATTTGATAACTCTGAAATCACTGATATAGGTCAAATGTCACCATTTAAAAATATATTCTAACAAAAAGATAACTAAGCCAAACCAGTCCTTGGTTTAAAAAAGACTCACCCTGTCAAGTCAGCTATATGGCCACTGTCTCATAAAAGAACTGGGTGGCAAGTGCTGAACTTCCTCTTTCACATTAGTGCCAAGGCCTGCTTTACCAATTTAACAAAACATACTTTTAAAAACTCTGGATTTCAATTCTAAATATTTAGTAACTGATTTCAAAAATCAGTAGGAAAGGAAAAAAAAAAAGATTCCATCTCCCTGCAGTTCTCTGGATGATTCCAAGACAATCAATATTCACAATTTCATTTGTTTTTGTTCTTTAAACAAGCAGCTAGAGAAACTTAAGATCTGCATTTTCATTTCCCAAGAAGTTTGATATGTAGCTAAATCTTATTTTTTATTGTCCAAGGAAAAGTACCCCCCCAGACACTACAAGCAAAGAGCCCAGCATTTCAACCTGAATTAACAAGAATAAACTGTTACCAATGGTTATGTAAACCAGCAGTAATCTTTCTATAGCCCTTACCTCAGTTCAAAATCCTGACCATATATGGCCTTGGATATAAGTCTAATTCAAATCAAGGGGTCAAACTGCATTCTCTGGGGAGATGTCTCACTGCTCAGGTAAGGGTCGTTCTGAACAGGTCATGAAGGAAGTGAGTACATTTAAACAAAACAACCTGCTCTTGCTTCATATGTTTGCTTGGTGCCATCTTCAGGTTTAATCATGGTCTCTGAGAAATCCTTGCACCACTTAAGTTATTGCACAAATTCATTATTAGTCAAGAGTATGGACAACGGTGATAGCCTCCGGTCTCTAACCATGGAAAGCAAACCAAACCCATTGACAGAAATAACAGAGTTTTTCCCCAAATCTGGAGTTGCAGCCATTTCCCCAGAAATAAAGCTGGATATTAAAGAGAAGAGAAAAAAGCTATTTCCTGAATTGAAATTCTCAACTGTCATTATTTTTCTTTCCTAATCAACTGTGGGGCCAAGCTACTTCTCTTCAACAACATCCCCTTCTTTTCCTCACCACTGAACATCTCAACAACTTTCCCGTGAAACTTAGAAAAAAAATGAAACTCAGAAAAAAACAGAGTGCTAAGGATTAAGCTTAGAAAAAAACAGAGTGAAAACTTTGAAAAAAATAGAGTGAAACTTAGAAAAAAATAGAATGCTAAGGATTAAGCCTTGACTATTAATGTGAGCAATTCCTCTCAAATCATGAGTGGACAAGGATAAAAGTAACAAATGAGCTACACTTATCCAGAAAAATAAACCAAAAGGCTTCAATGTTCTTCCAAAAAAGTTTTTAAAAATACTGTAACAAAAAGCAACACATAAATTGTTGTATACCATTGCATAATACAAGTCAGCATTAACCTTCTTAAAGGCTGTCAGTACTCATGCACAGTTTTACTTGTTACCACCTTCAGATAATGTTAAAGGTGGGAGGGAAATTTACAAATTTCAAGAACTACCAGGTAACCAATTAACAGATCCATCCTTCACGTGCCTTCCTATTCAAGAGCTCGGCACATATGTGCTGTTCACTCATATCCTGTGGTTCTTCCAGTGCTAAGGACAATGGGGTGAATCAAGGACAGAAGAGGCAGCAAGGACAAGGGAGTTTAAGGTTTAAGTGGAAACCTCTGGCTTTTAGTAGTCTGTATTATGCCACAGAGGCTAACCAAATATAGTTACTCGCAGGGAATTTTCATGAGAATGGGAGGCGGATAAGGATTCTAAATCAGCATTGAAAATGTCAATGTTTTTAATTTACTGGAATAAAAGGTATAATTGAATGAGTCTAATAAAAACAGATTTCCTAGCTAACATATATTAAGGGCAAAGAGGGGGAAAAAGGGTGCAATAGCATTAATGGAGTACTCAACATGTACCAAGAAGTACATTCAGGGTTTTAGTATGTGATTTCATTGACCATTAACCAGTATTTACTTCCCAGTGAAATTTACAAATTTCAAGAACTACAAGGCTAACATAAAAGGGTTGTGGCATATTAATATTTTAATATTATATGTTCCTGCATCACCAAAAAGGCAGGTTTTAGCCTCAGTCGTTCCTCTTTGCCATTATAAATAGAGTGACAAATTAGATTATCAGACACATAACTGTATTTAATTTACATGTCAAATATGAAATCCTATCACCTATGCCAAGTCAAATACTTTAACACGTTTATAAAATCTTTACTATGAAAAGTAAAAAGTGGATAATGTCCAGTATTTTCAATTATAGAAAACTTGCCCTGAATCTGCAACTTCTGAAGGCAAAATATTGTCACTGTTGCTAATCTCACTTGAAGTTTCCACAGATTTTTGTTCCAAAAGGGAAGAAAAGCAAAATTAAGTTTTAAAAAAAGTTCATAAATAGAAAATATTTCCATTTCTCTCTTTTCAGTCCCCTCAACCCAAATAGAAGGGCTTCCTCCAACGCCTTAAGACCATGTGTACATTACTGAATCATGATCGCCACTTCATTTACATGATTATAACCCTGTTATAATCACGACAGGCAACGTCCATTCTGCGGTTTGTATCATCTACAGTATAACCTAAAAGAGAAAGGGAAATATTTACCAAATTACCTGCTACTGCTGTTACTCTTCTTGGATTTGCTCCTCCGTTTTAAGGCATCTCTGTCCTTGTTATTGTATGGTAACATGGAGGCATAACCATGTTCAGCTTCTAGAAAACCGGAGGATCCAGTTAATGAATGAGCCCCGAATATTCAACACTCTCTCCCCTCCATAGTATTTCCTTTTTAAGATTGATTTATTTTTCATTAAAAGAAGATTGTGGAAATAATTAAACGGAGCAAGGCGTAATTCTTAGAACAATGTTTTTTTTTTAATTGAGTGAATACCCTCAGTGAGGATCAGGTGTAAGGAGCATTCCAGCTGCTCATTGTTGAGAAAGACAGCAAGTCTCCTGGAGCCTGGGTTTCCCACTGGCAATGTCCAGCAGGTTGGTGTGTATTAAGTGGGACCAGCCTCAGGCGAAGGTGCGGGGCAAACACCGGGAGCCAGAGCCCGGGAGGGACGGTGGGGGGCAGGGGAGGCGCTGTTCCTCCGTCTGCGAGACCCGGCGCCAGGCCCACTTGGGGGCCGGCCGGGACGAGCCCCAGTGAGGTAAACCAAGGGCCTGGCTGAGGGGGCCCCGGGCCCCCCACTCGCGACGGGGTGAGGAGCGGGCGGCGCTCCGGACCCCGGGGCAGCGGTCCGTTTTCCACCCCCATTCATTGCCTTTGGGGCAGCGGCGTCCTCCCTTCGGACCGCGCGTGGGGAGAGCTGGAGGGGTTGGGAGCGCTCGCGGTCGCGCTCTCAGCTCCTCCAACTACCCCCGGAGCAGCTGGGCACCCGGACCTGCGGCTGGGCACCCGGACCTGCGGCTGGGCCCCTCAGAGTCCCCAGTCCCCGCTCGGGCCGGACTCCTCCCGTCCCCGTGCACCTCTCTCCCGCCGCTCCAGGTAGTCGGCCGCCTCCAGCAGCATCTGGATGTTCATCCGAACCGCCGCCGCCATTCTGCACCGGGGTCCGGAGCCACTGGACCAACCCCCACTGCCCACGGGCTCGCCGCCGCTGCCGCCGGACACCCACGCCCCGCTGTGGACCCCGCAGAGCAGGGCTGAGAGAAGCTCTCTGGCGACCACGCTCGCCGGAAGGGGGAAGGGACGGTGAGCCGGGCACCACCGACACCGTGACAGAACCCAAAGAAGAGCAGCAGCCGCCACCGCCGCGGAGTGTTTATCCCCGACTCACCGTCCCCCGCCCCCAGCCCCTTCTCTTGACAGGCCCGCTTCGGCTGAGTTCCTCATTGGGCACCCCAAAGAATGCCCCGCCTCTGGCGCTGTCCGATTGGGGGAAGGCATTACGGCCCCGCCCCTCATGGTCCGCTCCTCTCGCTGGTTGGTCACGCTTGATAAGGCCCGGGCTCCACCCTCTCTTTCCAATTGGTGATAGGATTCGCAACTCCGCCTCGTGCTCCTTCCCTGTTTTCCATTGGTTCTATACCGACAACCGGGCCCCCTTTTGCTTTGTTAGTATTGGCCAAGAGCTACAGAAGGCAAGCCACTCTGCCTGTCTCCCATTGGTGGAACCTTCCTACACCGCCCAGCTACGAGGACGTCACCTTTCCCCAGGCCAGCGAGCCCTGAATGGCTGGTAGTCAGCGGTCCGGCTACTCCTCGCGGGATCTGGCATGGGCCGTCAGGGCTGACCCGGGCGCCGACTGGCGGTGATTCACCGGCTGCCGCCGGGCTCGGCTCCACCCGACCCCACCTCGGACCTGTTGCCGGGACCTGTCTCCGGGGAAAAGTTCCGGGGACCTGCTGGGCGTCCCTCGAGTGGAAGCTGGCACCGCGCGTCACCTGGGCGCTCTGCCCCGCTCGGGTTCGGGGCTGGATCCCTGGGCCTGCCGGCCGAGACCCGGAGGTTACAGGCTTCCCGAGGTCGAGGGCGCAGCCGCGAAATCTCTCCGAAGGGAGAGCGGCAGACAGCCCGACGGTAGGGCGGTGGGCCTGGGGCTCCGCCGAGCGCCACATGGCTGAGGGGCTCGGGGAAAAGCCTGTCTCCTGTCCCGTGTTCGCCGCCCAGTTTTTTTCTCTCCTCAGAAAGCGCTGGAATAGGGAGGCTGTATACAGAGCTGAGCTCTCCAAAGGCACTAGGCACTACCCCCGCCCCAAGTGCTGGCTAATTACTCCCTCAAGCGACTGGGTTTTAAAAGCTCAGAAATTTCCTGTACCTACAGATTGGCGTTGAATTCTGAGATTCTTTGACATAAATCTCTTTCGGGGTCTTTCCTTCCCTTTCAATTCTAGAGGAGAACACTCAAAAAGAATCCTTCCTTTTCAAGGAGGCTATGAATGGTGTTTGTGTGGTACCAGTATAAATGTACATAGACAGAACTAAAAACTTTATTTAGGAATTGTTCCCTAAGCTATCTCAAGACCCAAGTTACTCTGTTAATATACTGACATCTTCATTTTAAGAAACGGAAATAAAACTCTTTGTAAATAGAAAGTCCTGAATATAGAAATGAGTAAAGCATGAACATATTTAACAAAGCTTCTTAGAAAAGTTTATTGTTGCCAATATGTGAAAACAATAGCCTGTCAGGTAACTTACCTACACTATTGCTAATCCTCAATATAACCCCATTAGATAGGTTAATTATCTACATTTTGCACATGAGGAAACTGATGCCCAAGAAGCTAAATGACTTCCCTAGACATCCATTCAGCCAGAAATGGAAACTGAACCTAGATCTGTTTCACTCAGAGCCCATGGTGTCAATGCTCCAGTTGGTAGCTGTTCTAAAAACAAGACAACTAAGAGACGGATTTCCATATGAGTCACAAACAATGACACTCAAACACTGGGGAAAAAGAAAGAAACACATTACGATGGTAAGTTTTTAAATGTGTCCTTTTTAATGGTTGACAAATCCATTAAAATTAAATAAACTCAACAGAATTAATACGTAGAATAAATGCAGTAAACCAGGCCTGACATACAGAACACATATTTTCTGGTTTTAATGGTTAATTGGACCTAAAAGGTGATTCTTTATGAAAACTAATAAATATTCACCTTTACCACTGAAGATAAAGGTTTTCAAGAAAGCACAAAAAAGCTAGAAGAATGGGGATATAAGTTGTAAAGAGTATGTTTTAACTGCAAGTTATCTGTAAAACAAATTTGAAAATCATAGTGAAATGAATACAATTCTAAAGTGCCCAAACTGACAGTAAAAACACTTTGAGTTCATTACCTTAATTTTGGATTTTTTATACTTCTATATTTTCTCTTTGATTTTATTATGAACACTCAGAATCTCTTTACTCTTTCC